AGGGAGACAGCCAGTTTAAGAACACAGGGGGACAGCCTTGGGATAAAAAGACCAGACCAACAACATTAAAATTAATGAACTGACAAACAAGAAAGGGTGATCCTCAACTGAATAGGGAGAAGTTGATCACAAAGTAAAGCCAGCTAGGAACAGAGAGAGATCTCAGTCTGGGTTCAGCAGCCTGGAATCATATCACAGACATGTAGTGGCACTGCACCAGACTGAGAATAAACTGAATTGTGACACCAATACACACTATATCCCCTAGCCGCACATATTACATCACAAAAAACAACACAACCGAAACAAAACTATTTACATAAAACACCACACCTTAATGAGCTTACTCTACACACTCATGTGTGTACAAATACACTTTTATGGTCCCTTTCTCTTCTGGCATCCCACTTATTGAGACACCAGAGACAAGTCAAAAGTAAACACAGTACAAGCATGTTAATACATTTGTTAGCACTGTACAGAACAAATACAGTGCCTTTTTCTCGTGCAAGAGCTCTTCATTAGGGCTCTGTGCATGGGCTACCCAGAAAGAGCATTGAATCAACATGCTGACTTTGAGGAAAGGAGTGCTTGTCATTGGTAATGGCACAACAATCTTCCTCTCTGACCCTACCCCCTTCCCACTGAGCCGCAGTGATAAAGAAATGTGATAAAGACAATTTTTTTCCCTAGTCTAGTCATGATCAGCATACACTGCCTTACACATACAAATACAAATAGACAGTGCCAGATGCATTTACTGAAAACTGAAAAATATATAGATTTTAGTTGCCCATTGTATTGCCTACCTTTTTGTTTAAGGCTTTCCTTGTGTCTAGTAATTTACTGTAACATTATGAAGACTCCCTTCTTCCCTGCTTGCAATCCTTATAGCTTTGGAAGAAAATTAAGAGACGTGACATTATTTCTTCTCATTCCTGCCATCATGGCAGTCTGTTAAAAAGCCAACTCATCATTAGACGTGTTATGGAGTCTGATTGGCAACTCCAGTATTTAGCTAGGAACAGTGCATACTATATAGTAGAGTGCAAAAAAATATGTAGTCAAGGCTGTAGCTCACTCAATAATTTTTGAAAATGGTAATACCCACAAATTGCAATTGGTTAAAAATGTTTCTATCAGTTTTTATGAGGATCACACCATTGTACATATGGAAAGAGAAGTGAAAATGATTTGAAATATTGACTCTGAACATTTATTTATGCTAATAAAGACCGACTAGATGGCTTTTTATTAGCAGTACTTGCTGGGGTGCTCAAGCCATTTCTTTTTATATAAAGTAAGACATTTCCTCTTATCCATAAGTACATTGGATATTTTTTTTTATTGTAATTAAATATATATATATTGCCACAAGGGATTCTGGGGTGGCTTGTTCCACAGAGGGAAGGCCCAAAGCTGGCCATCCAGGCCTTGGTTTGGAGGAATTCATTTTCTACCACTGCTAAATGCAGTAAACATTTGTAAGTTTTTCTTTAGCTTTGTTCTCGGGTAGCCTTTCTAAATGATATGTGCTAACCTCCTTTAGAAGCCTAGGCAGCTTAAAACCATTTAAACTTGAAAAGTTTGCTTCCGTCTCTGGGTTACAAAGAGGCCAGTTTTGACGCACCTGTAAGAGCTCATACTCATATATTAGCAGATAAGTTGCCTTTGTGTTTTATGATATTGCAAAAAAAGGAAAATCTCTATGGGCATATATGGTTACATAATAGAATGTTATTTATACATGTCATAAGATTTGCCTAACACATCTTTATATAATCAATATTTCAACCGTATGCAACATAATCAGCTTCACAAAGCATAAATTTTGTCACAAAGCAAATAACATAAGGAATATGACCTATGGTCAGAGTGAGTAAGGGACAAAACTAATCAAAAATATTACGAACTGTCTCAGTTGATTGCAATTTGCAAGTGTTTTAATTAGATAATAATCAAAGTAGATGTTGAGACTAGTTTTAAATGGAACAGAGGAAGAATATAATGAATTATAAAAGAAAGGATATCTTTGTGTTTTATTAATATTTCATACATGGTTTGAGGGTGCTTGGTCCTGACATTTATTTGTCCTGAAATTATAGCCTGTATATAATCAGAAATTATGTTAATTCATAATCTATTTACACCTTAAGGACCAATGCCATTCTATACCATCACCACATTTGGGAGGTTATGCCAGTATGGATCGCACTCTTTATTTGCCATAATCAGATCTACACAGCCCTGCTGTCAATATAGAAGAAGGACATTCAATTTTGAAAACATATTCCTAAAGATCAGATTGTTATTATAGCATTCACCATCATGAGTTCCTAAGGGGTTAAAATAAATATAAGTCAAGTATTCTAGTTATTTTACCCATGGGTGATGTAAAACTGACAGTGGCTAGTTCACTGTTAAAAGGTAGAATATACCTATTTCTCAATGTCTCCCTTTTAAATTGCTGGGCAGTTATTGAAAATCGTTAATGATCTTGACAATGAATTAGAAATGTGCCTTAGCATAAAATAAGAGATCAGAGTGTCTGAATGGGTCGTTTTTGGATTTTTACAGGTTTACATGTACAACTATCTGTCAGTTTTTCCTATGTATTATCTACTGTAGGAGAAGTATTATAAACCTTGCTTAGTTTCCTGAAAAAAGAGATTATCCCATAAAAGAAAGAAAGGCAAATGATATATGTGTATAAACAAAGACAGCAGGAGGGAGGGCGCAAGGGAGATCATTCAGGAAAAATGCCACTATCAGGTCAATGTTTGTGTTCTTCCAATTAGTACAGAAAAAAAATCACCAGATTAAATCAGTAGAACCTTTACCATTTGTCTTTAGTACTTTGTGTATTTGTACTGTGCATGCCTACCTTTTTTATCTGCATCAGTGCAATACATTTTGCATTTAGTACCATAGATATCACACCCTCTTAACATTTGCTGTTTCTCCTGTTACAACCTGGCATTAAACTGAAATGAATTGTGTTTATTTTGTTTTTTTCCTCTGTTCTACACAAAAAAAACAAGATGTACATATGTCTGCAAATATGTCTTCATATTATACAAAATCACTTACATATGAGAAATCAATAAAATGATTATGCATTAATCCTCCTTGGGTGACACCACCTATGAAAACATGTCATCAAGATTAGTGTTGATCAAAATCCTAATCTTCTTATTAACCTCTTAAGGACCGGACCGTTTTTGCGATGTTGTACATTTGCGACCAGGCATCTTTTTACACTTTTGTGGTGTTTGTGTTTATCTGTAATTTTCCGCACTCTTATTTACTGTTCCCATACAAATTATATATTGGTTATTTTCAGGACAAAAAGGGCCTTCTTTACATACCATTATTTGTATAATCTCATGTAATTTAATTTTAAAAAAATTAAAAAATATGATGAAAAAATGAAAAACATACATGTTTTTTGACTGTTACTTGAAAAATCTTTTACTCATCTACAAAAGCGAATAAAAAAACTGCTAAATAGATTCCAAATTTTGTCCTGAGTTTAAAAATACCCAGTGTTTACATCTTTTTTGCTATTTTTTTGCATGTTATAGGGCTATAAGCACAAGTAGGATATTGCGGTTTCAAAACATAAATTTTTAAAATTTATCAATAGTGACATTGTAACACTATTATCTGTCATAAATCTCTGAATAACACACCACATGTACATATTTTTTTTAAAGTAGACAACCCAGGGTATTTAATATGGGGTATGTCCAGACTTTTTTAGTAGCCACTTAGTTGCAAACACTGGCCAAATTTAGCATTCATATTTGTTTGTGTGTGAAAAATGTAAAAAAACTAAATTGAATGCAAATTTTGGCCAGTGTTTGTGACTAAGTGGTTACTAAAAAACACTGGACATACCCCATTTGCAATACCTTGGGTTGTCTTCTTTTGCAAATGGTATGCCATCATGGGGGTAATTCTCATTCCTGGGCTACCATACGCTCTCAAAGGCAACCTAACCAACCTGGCCATTTTCAATGTAAAAATATTTGACTCATATATTTGACCCTGTAACTTTCAAAAACACTATAAAACCTATACTTGGGGGTGCTGTTATACTCAGGAGACTTTACTGAACACAAATTTTAGTGTTTCAAAACAGGAAAACATATCACAACAATTATATCATCATTAAAAGTGCTGTTTGTGTGTGAAAAATGCAAAAAAAGTCACTTTCACTGACAATATCATCACTGTGATATGTTTTACTGTTTTGAATATTTGTGTTCAGCGAAGTCTCCCAAGTAAAACAGTACCCCCCATGTATAGGTTTTAGGGTGTCGTAGAACGTTACATGGTAAAATACAGTGCTAGCAAATTAAATTCTCTGGACTTTCGGCCTGGGTTGGCAGGCAGGTCCCTCAAATTGCAATCAATAAAATTACTTAATTATGTAATAATATTATATAAATATGCACGTAGAATTTAAATATATATGCATATTTATATATTTGAAGTCTACTTGTATATTTATTTAATTATTTATGTAATTTTGTATGTACATATGTATATTTCGTATTATTTTTATTTATTTATATATACATAGATATATATATACAATTTCATTCTAAGTGTATTTTGATATAAATATATATATATATATTAATATCAAAATACAGGTCGAATAAAATTTCATATAGAAATATATATTTTTTTAAATTTTAAAAATGTTTTATTTAATTTAAATTACTTATTATTTGTATTTTATAATAATATATATATACAATATATAGTTATTATATATTATATATATACGTGGGTAATTTAATTATAAGTATATTTTTATATTAATATATGTACATATTAATATAAAAATACACTTAGCGTGACATTATATATATGATATATGGGAAGGCGGAGCCTGAAGTTGTGGGAGGGGTGGTAACTGGCCTATATAAACCCACTACTTACCGCCATACCTTGCTGACAGCGCTTGGTTACTTCCGGTTCCGGTCCAGACGGCGGTAATCACTGATCAAACTCCAGCTCAGCCAGGTCATTCAGCCTCCACGTCAGCAGGATCTCCAACCGTTAATGGGCCTGCACAAACGGCGGTAGCAGGTAGCCATCGCTCACAGCGGGCTCGCAGGTTGCCCACGGCACCACAGCTTCTGGAGCGCCGGGTCGCATTTCCGGGTTTACGATACCGGCAATCGTGAGTACGGGCATACGAACGACCAAACACACGATCAAAATACAATACGAAAATAGGGGGGAATACCAATCACAACTACTGCACATTTCAGAACAACTGGGCGAACGGGAGTTACGCACGAATCACATAACAGCCGAATGACGCGGGCGGTGGGAGCACATAAGGATAAATCTTAATCCACGAACGCCTTATATCGGTACTAACCACACGGATCTAACAAGGTCAAACTCACGAACACAGCATTTAAAACACACAAATTGCTGTACGTTTTATACCACTCATAAAAAAAAATGCAATACTGCCACCTACAGGCGCATTCAACATATGACACACTATGTATGGAACTGTTCATATTAGAATGGTAGTTTTCTGTAAACATGTATTAGGGGAATAACATAATATGTATATAGATCGGGTAATTTTGTCACTGATACATATTAAAGGTTAAAACACGGGTTATAAATTACTTCAAGGGATATCCACAATATAGATATTTCTTTAAGCATATCGGTTAAGAGATTTTATAAATACAGAGCAAATAAATTAAAGTAATAAGGCGGGCGTATACATTTATCGCAGTCTGATTACAACCGTAGGTAACTAAATATATATAAATCACGCATAGTCTCGGTGGAAGCGGCAATTAAGGGGGAAAGGGAAAGGGTATCGTTGTATCAATATACGACATATGGGTAAAAGTAGGTATACAGGTTGATGAGGTAAGTTAAATTTGTATTGTCATGTCCTTGCAGGTGGGTTTGTTCTCAATTTTCAACACACAAGCATCCCAGCACAAGGGAGTGCCGGTAATATACGGTACGTTCATTATGGATAAATTAGGTGGCACTAATACGCGAATCCGCTCGGAGCTATAAACATAGTATTAACACCGTACATAGTTCAAACTGGTAAAGGGCATCTTGTTACATCTTACCCTCGTAGGTCACAGATTCATCAAGACCAACACTGGTCATAACAATTCGTCAGAGACATAGACCGCACCTTACCTCTTGGGAAAATTTAAATAGAATCAAACGCTTAGTTGCGGTACAGGTAAATAAATAAATGTAAAAAAAATAAAATAAAAAAATAATAAAAATTTTTTTTAGGAGAGGGGTACGCCTATTCGGGTGTTTTACTTTGATTATTTTCATCTTAGGACAAGCAAACTAAGCATATACAACTACAGCCGTAACCTAAAGACCCACTCGTCAGGTACGTATTAGTCAAGGAATCATACTTACGACATGATATAGGCACTGGCACAATAGTTGGACGTAAAAAAAAAAATCTATTTACGACAATTATACTTCACAAATTTTCCTCATTACAGAGGTATTCACCTTCGGTCCAACTCATAGGTAGATTTCACAGTACTCAACCCAAAGTACAGAGAGGGCCTCACCAAGCATGCCTAGATTACTTTTATTTGTTAATTGAAGCCCACCTTTCTGCCACAACGCTTCGGTGGCCCAGTCATACGTCCAACGCATAGTTAGAGCCCCTAACGGTCCAACGGCAAGTAGCAGGGCCTCGCCCACCTTGTTATCTACTACAACTTACTAATAAGTCACATCAAACCCTTTGTCATTCATATAGGATGTCTCACGCCTCCGACATAGGAGAAGACGTCTCCCCTCCCAGCACACCAGCTAGACCACCCACCCCTATGACGGCCCCAACAACAGCCGAAAACTTAGATAGCCCTTGTTCATTGAGGTCATGGACAATTCCAAAAATTGCTGCGGAACTCAGACGTAGGGGTGTACCATATCCGGCCATTGCTAGGAAAGCTGAGCTATATAGGATTATGATGACAACCACCGAGACCCCTCAACCAGGAACCAGCTCACACGAAAATATGAACGAAACCATAGCGGGCCTGCAAGCCACAATGACATCTATCCTGGCGTCCATTAGTAATATCAGCCAGAGAATGGACAGACTGGAAGCTCCTGAGCCAATTATCGTGGCACCCAACATCAATCTCACACCTGATATTGAACACATAGCAGCACAGGGTAATGTGGCAGGGGCACAAATCGCACAAAATCCTACCACTCACATCGTCACACCAGCACACTTGGTACCTCCTAACATTAGGAAAGATATTTTAGAGAGAAAAGACGTCGACCTTATTTCCCTATTAATAGCGTCTCAAGACGTGGTAGAAAATAAGACTTATAATTATGGGGATTTGTCAGTGGTGATGAAAGCTGGAGACCCCAGACTAAGTAAAAAATTAACCATACCGCAGTTCGTCCTAGCTTTTGGCATATATAGAGACGTAGTATGCACCAGTTTTCCCCATTGTAGAGAAGAACTGGATTTGTATTTGCACAAATTGGTGGATCTGGGACACAAGTACGGTGGCCATACGTTTTTTGATTATCTCAAGTCATTTTCGGCAAAAGCAGCGGCAGCTTTGGTACAATTCAATATAAGAACCGATTGGAGGCACTTAGATACCAAACTTTTCTGCCACCATTTTGCCGGCCTCATACCACCGTCTTGCGCAATTTGTTCATCAAATACCCACACTGCCAATTTGTGCCCAAACGAACCAAGTCTTCCAACTACCAGCTATGCAGTTCCTAGCACCAGTAGCACCGACCAAAGGACATTTAAAGACAAATTAGGTAGGCCAAATTTTTTATGGGGAAGGCGCAGATTTGTAACAATTTTAATGCAGGCAGTTGCAGCTTCAGCGCTTGTAGGTTGTTACATGTCTGCACCATCTGCCACAGAGCCCATGCTAAGACGATGTGTCCTAACCGATTGTTCCCCAAGAAATGACTGATGGAAGTCAATGTCGATACGCTAGCCATTTACCTTAGTTCACATCCATCTAGGGACTTAGTACAATTTCTGATCACTGGTTTCACGGAGGGGTTTCACACTGGGTTGGTAGCACTACCATCAGGAACTATTGAATGCAAGAACCTACAATCTGCCACTACTGACCCAGCAACAGTAGACATTCTGTTGCAAGCTGAAGTAGGGAATGGTTTCATGTTAGGGCCATTCACACGGCCACCATTCACTTGTTGGAGAACCAGCCCAATAGGAATTGCATGGGGGAAATACAACAATAAAGCATGGTTAATCATCGATTTGTCATCCCCTCATTCCAGCACCACACCAAGCCTAAACTCGCTTATACCATCGGCCGAGTTCTCTTTACAGTACGCCACAGTCGATAATGCCATACAGGCCATACTGGAAGCAGGGGTGGCAGCTTGGCTTGGGAAAACCGATATTTCAAATGCCTTCAAGCTGCTCCCTTTGCACCCCTCTCTATGGCATTTGCATGGCGTAAGGTGGAAAGGGCTATACTACTTTGCGAACCGGCTGACGTCATCTCACGTCTACTCAGTTTGTTACCCAACTTACCCAACGACGACAGCAGGGTTACACTGGACATTCAGGCTAGGGCGGATCTGACTATGTGGTACCATTTCCTGTCAGACTGGAATGGGAGAAACTTGCTCATACCACCGTTGACATTAAACTCCCCTGTGTTATGGACGGATGCTGCAGGTTACGCAGGTTTCACAGCCATCTTCGAAGACAGATGGTTGAGGGACGCATGGCCTAGCGAAGCACTAGGATTACCCGCTTTCACAAAGACTTTGGCACAGTTTGAGATCTACCCTATAGTGACAGCAGCTAAAGTCTGGGGCCACTTATGGGGAGGGAAAGCTGTCAAATGCTACACCGACAACATGGCGGCTTGCGAGATTCTGAACAAAGGCAGGTCTTCTTCACTAACCATCACGAGCCTGGTCAGGAGATTCACATGGTTGGCAGCCACACAATTTTTTTTCCTGACTTGCATACATGTGCCAGGTCACCATAATTCAGCAGCTGACTCACTATCCCGTTCAAAATTACAGGTTTTCAGACAGCTACACCCAACAGCAGAGGAACAGCCAAGCAAGGTGCCGCAGTTCAGAGACCTCATCCTGGACTAAAATTACTCATGGAGCACGGGAGAGCACTAGCACAGGCCTCACTTTCCCCAAACACTTGACACACGTACAACCGAGCCTTAATTTTATTCCACAAATTTCTTTCAGAATACCTCATCACGAATCCTTATAGGTTAGATACCATGGTGGCATTCACCTCTTTTTGCCATCTCAACTTGAAACTGGCACACAACACCATAAAACTATATTTAACTGGAATACAGCATCATGTAAGCAACACATATCCCAGTATAAAAAACCTCCGGTCAGCACACCCCATTAAAAACATGCTAAAAGGCATCCAACGCCTAGAAAACCCAAAACCTACTACACGGCTACCAATTGACGCTGAGAAATTCAGGGCATTGTCTGACATGTTAGATACCAAACCCTTTGATAATTACACCAATAACACACTCAAAACAGCCCTATACTTGGCATTTTATGGGTTTATGCGTCCCAACGAACTCACCTTAAGTAACATCAACAATAAGGGAAATATGCTGTGTGTGTCAAACTTGAACAAAATAGGTGATCACTACACATTGTCAGTAAGACATTCAAAAACTAATCAAATGGGTCCGCCCCTCGACATTCAATTTTACCCAACCGGCAATCATTGGTGCCCCGTACAACTATTTGACAAATACATGGCAGGTATGGCTGATCAACCCAAACAAGCTCCTCTTCTCACAATACACAATCAACCCCTGACTACATCAAAATTCATCAAATACGTGAGATTACTATTCACAAGAATCGGGTACGATCCCGTGGCAAATGCAGGCCACTCCTTTCGTATTGGAGCCGCAACATCAGCCTCCAGCCAAAACATACCAGTTCATATTATTAAAAAGCTAGGCCGTTGGAAGTCTTCAGCATACCATTGTTACATACCTCAACCTGATAAAGAGTTGAGACAAGCTTTTAAACAATTGGCAAAATAGGAAAGCTTGGGTAATAATGTATGTGTATACATATTAAAGTGTTGAACAGATACTTCTCTTTTGCCCTCTTTATTTACAGGCC